CTAATGTATCATTAATTACAATAAACAATGGACAATGTCTACACACACCTCAAAAATAATAGTATTCCAATTTTTAAGTGGATTTTTTCTTGCACGTTTTCAAGGCGTTGGCCAAAATAGACCCAAAGCCATAAATGGATACCGTGCTAAGCTGCAGTTCTAGCCATATAATTTAAGCTACACTTTCGGTTTTAATATTAAAATGAAATTAATTTTGATTCGACAAGAGTGTGAGAAACTTGCCCCGCACACTCAACGGACAGCTGCTATGATTAATGGTGCGGACCGTAAGCTAATGACTCAATCGGGAGCTTAACCAAAGCACAGCCAAAGAAGAGCATTAATTGGCACAAGATTTTGAAATAAGCTTAAGCTATGTCACTTTTGCAATTCCACTGCTCGTAATTAGTTCATTTGCTTAACTTAGTACAGCAACAACAAAAACAACAGCAACAACAACAAAGAGAGTCGCAAATTGTGTCAAGTTCATCGCAGCTGTGGCATCAAGTTGGCATTTTGCATAGCTCGCGTTCAAAACTCATCGCATACAAAAGACTTAGGCAACGAACTTGTTTTTTTTATTTTTTATTTTTATTTTTGTAGCTAGCCAATAGAATTGTCTATGTACGTGTGTACCCAGCCAGCACGCAATGTTGCCAATTGTTCATGTTTTTTTCGAATACACCAGATAGAGAGTATATTAGCTTGTACAAACAGTTTGATCTATTTAAGGTATCGATATTGATATCAGTAAAAATGCGTAAAATAGACGTCGTACAGTCTTTTTTCTATAATTAAATTAACTTTCGTTGAAGATTTTTTTATTTTTAATATTGGTTATGGCACAAAAAACTTAACTTAATTATTATTATTTTATTCCATTAATATTAAAAATTAAAATATGTTCATATATGAGGATTATATATAATAGGTTTGATATGCCTATACCTTGCACACTATTGTAAGTCATATTCAAGCTCTGAAATATTCATGACCTTGCACGATCTATTTTTGTGTGCATTAGGAAAAGGTAACTAAGATGTGTGTAAAGGCAGCTAGGCGCTGGGATCAGGGTATCTGCCTAGCAGACACTCCCGGCTAGACAGAGCCTGCTTGCCTTAAATTCGTATTATTTCTATTTTGTATTGGCCAGCTGCATTGCCAAGGCCCGTTGACATTTTGCAATGTGAGTGCCACAAAACGACAAACGAGTTACGCACGCTTACGCACGGTTCCGTTATGAATGAAATGTGGAGCCTGCGTGCACAGATTGTTGTCGCATTTTTGTCATTCGTTTGGCAGCTTGGCCCCAATCAATGGAGAGACCCGGAGACACGCGCCAAGGCAAGGCAGCCTTCTCCGCTGCAGTCTGCGTGTGAAACTGGCCGCAACAAGTTACAAATTGTGTAAGAATGTCATGTGCGTAGTTCACGTTAGTCTGCAGTGCAATTATGTGCATATATCTAAAACATAAACTAGCTGTCAGCTGTAATAAATTAATTACAGGTTTTCGTTACAGTTTAACAAAATACCAGGAAATTAAGCTGCTGTTAATCAGGGCAATTGCCACTTTATATATATATATATATACATGCATAAAGATATTCTTGGCATGGATAACTCGACTACCACTTTTATATATAAGTCGAAGTTTAAATAGGAATTATAATTGGAGTGATTAAAATAAATCGTTATTATTAATATATATAATATATAGAATAAATAAATCGCTATTTAATTTATCATTTCGGAAGCTTGCAAATGTAATTCCAAGTTAAATTAAAAATTGTTATGCCTCAAACAATTTAATGTGTTTGTTTCTTGGGCAACTTATTTGGTTCAATCATCGATTCTGGGTACAAAATAAATTGAAGACCACGTTTGAATTGGTTCGTTTTAATGCCGACTTCTTGTTTTTGTTGTTGTTGTTGTTACATAAACGGCAGCATTTGGGTCTGCAGCCACCCACTTGCCAGCTAATGCTGCATATGCCCACTCTTAGTTAATGCAAATGGCATATGCATTAAGTTCATTATGGGTTACAGGGTATTTACGACACCTAAGTGCATAAAATTACACATTTTAAGGCATCAAATGGCAAAGACAGCACAGCAGAAATACACTCCACATATGCCACAGGTAAGTACACTAATGGCCTTGTCAATGCCGTTGCATGCCTTGAGAATTCACATTCACAACAACAACAAGCAACCAACACCTTTGTAGACAATAAAAATCGCGCATATTTGGTGCAGCACCACACCAAGAAAAACAACAACAACAAAAAATACAAAACAATTGCAATTGTTTTTTTTTCCATTTATTTCTTTTTTGGCTGTTGCATGCACCTCCATTGTGCGGCATGAGAATTTGACTAAGGATTGTGGCTGCTTGTGAGAAATGCAGCCAAAAAGCCTGCGCAATTTTTGTGCATTAAGATTTCAGTTTATTTATAACAAGACAAAAAATATTAATTAATTCTCAACGATTTCTGTACGGGGTTTGTATTTACTTTTAATTGGCATTTATTTTTGAAAGTGCCATTAAGGGGCGAGTTTAACAACTGCATTAACTCAATTAATAGACAGCTCACATGTATTTAACTATTTGATTAGTTTGCTTTTACTTTCGTCGGACTTTGAATAATTAATCTTAAATGTGCTGAGTTGACCTTGACTTTAGCTCTACCTGGCTAACCATTATGAAGTCTTGGTAAAATTGTAATTAACTTAAATTAAATTACCTTGCCCGTTTAGGTTTCGACGCTGGGTGTTGGGCATGTAAACATACATTTTTTATACCCTTGTTTTTCACTATATAACATATTTTATAATTCGGTTGGGGCCGTCATCTCAAGTTCGTTTAGTTGCCCGTGGAAAATGCGCAATTCGACACGCCAGCTTATGATGATTAATTGTTTAATATTCGAAATATGCAAGTTTTACAAGTTCCTATTAAATTCTAGAGGCTGCAATTGGCTGATATTTAATGGCATTTTATTTTCTCATGTCAATCTCTTCTCAGCAACATGCACAAACGTCTGGCAGCGCTGTACTCTAACGAATTTAACAGTGTTGCCATATGTGCAACATTAAAGCGAATGGTAACGCCGCACTTGCAACCAGCTGGTAAATATTAAGCTGGTAGCTTAGCTGTCTTGTAAGTTCTGGTCAGCTAAGTTAAATGTAACATTATAAAATAGAAGCCAGTATGACAAGTTCAAACGCTTGCTAAATTTGTCAGCGACTTAGTGGCTTTACACTAACCACATAAATAATTAAGCAATCATTTTTAGTGCAATCAATTGTTACAGATATGTGTGAGAAACTTGTTTATTCGCTGTGATTACAAATTGATACGCTTGTCTTATACTTCTATAAATCAGAAAGCCAGATCAAAGTCGGGTTAGCGAACAATTTGTCGCCGCATGTAAGCTAAAGAATATACTAATCAGCTCTAATTAACAATTTAAATTTGCATTCGTATTAAACAGCAAGTTAAGAAACTAAGAAATTAAATTCAGCATGAATCACTTTAGAATATAAAACCATTTGCTGCCGCTGGCCAAGTGCTAGGAAAGGTGCTTTGATTTTCCATCGTAAAACTAGCCAAATTGCATTCGTGTCGACGCGTTAACAGAGCACAAATGTGAGGCACAGGCGAAGGTCAACAGCGCCCGGTGATCGGTCAACTGCGTCAGCGGCTGACAGGCGGGGCCGAGTGCTAAGCTTTAGCTGTGACCGGGCTCTAAGCAGTGTTGGCAACCGTTGCTTCAAAAAAAAAGTAGCTAAATCTAGTGTTGATTAAAGCTAAAAAGTGACGAAATTAATTTGCAAGCTGCTCCAAACTGACTCATGAAATGACTTCGAAATACTAACAAACAGATTTGGCTTAGCCACAAGTGCAGGCACCACCAGCTGCCGACTGACTGACTCTAAAACTAGTTACACATAGCAATAAAAAAGCTAAATGATCAACACTGCTTCTAAGCTAAGCCTGGATCGGGCTCTTCTAGGCTGAAGTCGTAACTCTGAAGCTAGCTACACACGTTAATAAAATAGCTAAATGGTCAACACTGACTCTAAACTAAGCCTGGGCCAGGTTCTAAGCTGAAGTCGTTCAGATTTTTCCCACAGCCACAGCGCGTTTGGGCGTTGTAAATGGATTTGTGTGACTGCTGCCGCGATATATATTCTGAGTATTGAGTATTGAGTGTTGAGTGTTGAGCGTGTCTCACATTCTGGCGCTTTTTTATGACTAACGGCGCCGCCGTGACATTACGAACCAAGCGATTGTGCCAATCGATTTCAATATTTCATATCCTGTAGTGTTTGGTTCCGCAAACGGTGGCTATAAAAGCGCACAGGCACCGCCCACCCAAATGTTAGTTGAACAAATTGCAGTGGCACTTGGCCTTTCGGCCATACATCAAACGAAGGTGTTCCAAGTTCATTAAGATTTTGAGCTGCAGATAGCCACAGAGGCCTGCTTATTGAGCTAACAAATCTAAACAAATTTTATAAAAATATCTAAAAATTTTAAACAATTTTTAATGTTTCTGTGTATACAGTAAGGAAACGTAAGTAAAACAAAAAATATGTTTAAAATAAAAATAAATAAAAAATAGCAAAACAAACATGGTATGGTTGAAGGGGAAATTAAGAACAAAAATATATATATGAATATATTGTATAAGACTATATTGTCAAAAATATTTTTGAATATAAAAATGTAATACCAAAAGGCCGCATAAAAAATGAAATATTAAGCTTTTAAATTGCATAAAATGTATGCAACGAAAATTGTGAAAATATTAACAGAAAATATTAATAATATATTTATTCAATTAAGCCCAAAAGCGAGCTTTGTTTTATGTATAAATGCGCCCAATTTTAAGACCAGGAATACTTTTGGGCGAACAAAATAAGTAAAAATGAAAAACTTTAAAAAAAGAGTATTTAAAGAGCTTGTTGCTTATGGGGTTAATTATGCAGCCGACATATAAATAATCATTAAACTTTATTCATGAAACATAATCATCTATAATAATGTATGTGTGTATATATATATATTTGTTTTCAATAAATATGTTGTAATAACATTTAGCACTTAATAAATAACAACATCTGTTTAACTAAATACTAGTAGAACAATGCATAATTGTTATAATAAAGGGTAAGTACAGCTACAATTTAAAGTAACATCAAATACTTTGCGTATATATATATATAGTAAATATTTTATATATGTTTTTTGTAGTTTTTTTTTTTGTAATTTGTTTAACTTGCCGTGCAAGCAGTTTGCAATAAGAGAGGCAAAGTCAAATATAAAGATATGGTTTATATGTGATGTGAGTTCATATTTGGGGAACTCTTTTTTTTTTGTATATATGCATATATATAACTATTTTATGTGGTAAACAATACTTGGCTGGCATAATTTCAGCAATTATTTTTGGGAAACGTATTCTTTGCTTGCAGTTTGAATTTGCATTTATTTTACTTTTGGGCATTATTGACTTTTAGCTGCGCCACGGCACGGATTCAGTAGGACACAAAGGAGCCGGAATTGCGTTTGCGTCCCATGTTGCAGATCTTAAAGTGGCACGGCGACATATCTGTGAGTGGCAAGAAATATTTTAAAACAAATTAAATAATATTCAAATCGATTTTGTATAAGTTTTATCATGCAACACTTACATTGTTTACGAACTATTTTCGAATTACGGGTAATGAAAACATGAAATAAAAAAAATAATTTCAATTTGAGCACATTAATCATCAGGCAACATTAAGGCTTTTATTATAATAGATATTTTACTAACTGCGAAGCGACCCGTTGAAAACTCCCTCTTCACTGAAGAAGATGTTCTATGACTTCATTTTAAGAAAGATATTTTATCATTTTATACTACTTTAAAAGCTGCATGTCAAGTTAAGTGACTCTAGCCCTTAAAACTTAAGAGATTTGCTGAAGAACCAGGATTTTGATATCATGGAGCAGTACGTTCAAAATTTTAAGTCCCTAGCTCTGCGAGGTTCTTGATCCAAGCGCTCATACATACGGACAAACGGACATAAACAATTGATCGTTTCGGCTATTGATGCTGCTTTATTCAGCTGTCACTTGAATGTGAACAAATATGATGCAGTCGGTTATACCCAATAGCAAAATCCATTGTCTTCTTTTTATGTATTGCAATAATTTTCACTATCATTAACTAAAAATCGGAGGATCAATTAAGGCTGTAGTTTATATATCTGCTACATACTTAAACGCCCTTATTAAGCTGTAATTGAAATGTGAACGAGTATTATGAAGTCGGTGACACCCTATCGTACTATTTTTTTTTTTAACTTGCAACTACTTGTCTACTTTATCTATCATATATCCACAACTAAATTTAAAGTCAAACCCAATTTGACAGCTACTCACATTGCACATTCTTCTTGATGTTATGCTGCTTGGCACTTGAGCTCAGCTTGACGCCCTCGCTCTGCTTCTTAGTGGGCACGGCCGACATATCATCCAGTATATTGTAGTGCGGCTGATCATCGCCAGCGTCCAAGCCGTCGCCATTATCGCCCAGCCTGTGCAGGCGGGCCAACAGCCTGGAGCCCAGCTGGGCACGCTCGCGCTCCACGCTCTCCATGGGCTGCACGGAGTCATCATCGTAGTCGGCAGTCAGGAGCAGATCCCGCAGCGAGGGCCATTTGTTGACAAAGTAGTTGAATGACGGCACTTGTTTTGGCTGCAATTGTTGTTGCTGCTGCTGGTATTTCTGCGAAGCAACAGTTGGTTAAAGATATGTCTGACATATGTTTATACTACGTACAATATATGCACTGAGAGAAAAGTTGACGATTTTTTTTTTTTAGAATATAAGTTACTCTACTTGGCTATGTTTACGTTTTAATGGTTTAAGATTGTATAGCTAAGCGTGAATGTACAATAAAAAGAAAAATACCCTGAATAAAAAAAAGGAAATTTCACTTATTTCTTTAAGTAGGAAAATTCTCAAAATACGAGTTTTTACATGCAAATGTTTACCATAAGCTTTAGAATATTGCCAAATATTGAAAAATTTTCTTAACTTGAAATTATTTTTTATTTATTTTTGAAATTAATAAACTTTTTCAATTCTTGGGGATATTCTAAAATTTGAGGTCAACATATTTTAATTCAACAACATTTATTAAGTTTGGTCTTTGTCAATTGTTGTTCATTCAAAATAGACAACATTTGTTAATTGGTTGCTCTACAAAGTGCAAGGATCTTTTCTTCGAGTGTATATTACGCAGTTGGCCCACTCACCAATTGCTCGCCGTAGTAGGTGTTGTCCTCATTACCCGGCCCGGACGAGAGCAGCTCATTGAACAACAGTTGCGTTGGCAGTGCACCGACAGTGGGGCGTGGCAGTGCATGACCAGGCGACAATTGCGACGCAATTGACAGCAACACAATGAGAATGGCCAACTGATGGCCGATAGAGACGCCGCACGTTCCGGCTGACGACGTAGAAGTCATCGTCACGTTGTTGTTTTGCTTCTACCAACTGCAAAGTGGGGAAACAATTTTGTTAGTATGGCTGCCACAAAACAAAAGCCATGTGTGTGTGTGTGTATGTGTGTGTGTGTGTGTGTGTGCGGCGGGGTTTGTTTTCAAAACTGGCACACGGACAATTAAACAGAGTTAACCCAGCCAACCCTCGCTTACGCAAAAGGGTTTCCTATTACACTTTCCATTCAGGCAAACAAAGTTGCCAAAGTAAAAATATGCGAAATGTTTTCTATTTTTTTTATTTTATTTCCTTTTCAAGTTTCGAGGACTTTTGCTGTTCAGAGGTTTCATCTGCAGGTGTTGCGTATATCAAAGAGTCACGTTGCATTCGCAATGGATTCGGGTTCTCATTTTGCCTAAAAGTATTCAAATGCCAAAGCACTTGGCACCCTACAGAGTCAACCTACCTGCGACATCACCTGCCCAGCCAGTCTATAGGTTTACTTGCCAAAGGGTGAATGGGGCTGATAGGGGCTGTGCGCGCGACTGTGACGCGGTCTCCGTATGTCCCCTAATTACCGTTTATGAAATATTAATGCCTAATTATGCTCAACTCTGACGCGAACTGCGCACTGTGGACTGGGTTAACCACTTAATAATGCCTTGTCATTTGTTTAAAGCGTAAAGGACATTTAGAGCAAAGTGACTTGCAACAAAAGTTAGCAAGAAAAACTGTGATATATGAAACTAAGAAGAACCAACAACTACTTCATGATATACTAGAAAAATAACTCTAAGAAACTTATGTTTCAAAAAATGTAAGAACTGCATCATCCCCAGATACAAAACAGGACCAAAATGTTTTTAAGGAAATCGCTTGAAAATCGCTTGAGATTTCCCAAAGTTTTGAGAATCTAAAATCTAAGCAGGGCTTTTGCTGGAGTAAGATTTGGGAACATAATGATGACGATGACAATGACATGATGTATTGATAGCTAAACGCCTTATGGGCCCAATTATAAAGCTAAATCCTCCACCGAATTGAAGAGGTTTCACATATAGTATGCACTGATCGGCTGATGCCAGATGGCAACATATATGCATATATAAAAAGAATCGATGCGTTATTTTATTCATTTTTATGACTGGCGATAAACTTTGGCTGACACTTGCATTTACTTACACACTCTGCGTTTGCACTCTATGATTAATGGGCGAATGCGATTCGTAAGACTCGCAAACGTAATCAAAGCAAACGCATTTTTATACCTCCCGGAGCTGATAATGCGCCGAAACGTATATATATTATATAAATACGTACTTACGTATGCAGAGAGCTTATTCTCAGTACTATTTCAAAAAATTAAGAAGTCAAGGTCTAACGCGTACAAGTTTCAATGAACTTGAATGGGGCGGGCCACGCCCCGTAATTATCTCGGAGCCGGATCGGATAAGCGTTTCGCCCATTACAACCGATTAGTGCCAACTATATTTTTGGGTCTGTCGAATATTTATTTGACAGGCGTTTGTTGACGCCTTTGCGGCGTTAATTCGAAATTAACCTGTTGCTGGCGCAGGTGCAAATTGATAAGAGATACGTGATGTGTGGCAAGGAAAGCGTTCGGGTTTTTAATATCACTATAACACGATACAAACTAATGTCTATATAGCTTAGCTTTTTAATCAGTATTGGAAGGGAAATGGGGATGAATAATTACTAAGAACTCGCCCAAAGTTCTGGACTACTTTATTACATACATATTTTTGAGCCAGAGAGAGTTAGTTAGAGTTTAGTTATTTCTGGAATAGCCGCCATAAATATTGCAAGCATAAAGAAGAAAAGCTCTTAGCGTCAGATGCGTGTTATAACTATTCTAGAATTTCGAGCTTTTCTCTGGCAATCACCAATAAACAAAATTAATCTCATCATGGAGCTACTTGGGTCCCTCTGACGTCAGCAAATGATGGTCATAGAAATCTGCTCAAATATTCCCAGCTAAAATTTCCCCTGTACAGATTCTATATATGAGTATGATTTCATTAAAACTTTAGTACAAAAAACAATAAACAGCTAGCCAATAAAAATTCCTTTAAATATATGTACTATGTCCCCAAATGGGGAGCTCCAGTACAATCCGCATAAATAATCTCATTATACAAATGTATAAAATAATCACATAAACAACTTTTAATGTTACTTCTATAGCATTTTAAATATCGTAGGGTAATTTACGCACTATAGTTTGTAGAACCTTAAACCCTATTTAAACCCTAAACATTTAAATTTAAATATATTATAATTTAATTATTGAGTTTCACAACATATGAAAGATATAAGTAAATAAAAATCTCTATAGAATTTCCACTGATTCAGTTTATGGTTAAAATAAAACGAGTGACAAACCAATTTCCGAACCTTGGTAGATGGATATTAAAAATCAAGTTCTCGAAAAGAACCTTAAGGCAAAACATTGGTTCAAACCGTGAACCATAAGGCCAGAAGTTGGTTCAATTTATGAACCAAAAAGCCAAAAGTTGGTTCCCACCTTGAACCATGAAGCCAGTTGATTGTGCAAACTGTGAACCTTAGGGTCAGACGTTGGTTCAAGACGTAAACCTTTAGGCGAAGCGTTGGTTCAGACCGTGCCTAGACGTTTGTTCAAACTGTAAGGCTAATGGCGAAGCGTTGGTTCAAACCGTGAACCGAGCCGAGAATTTATATTTTCTGTTTTACAGCCATGCTTGTGTGTCATAGTAGGTATATCAGAGTCGACTCTTGACTTTTAGAACTGAAACATGCTGTTTTTATTGACACTTGAGTACGTCATCAGCGTGTAGAAAAAATATCACACGATGCCAAAAACCAAGTCTTATCAAGCAAAAAAGTAGCATCTTGAGACACGCCCTCCTTTTTTTTAAAAGCTTTTTCTATATAGAAGCGGAACTAACCTTTTGTCAAAAGTTATCGCTAATAGTAGAATTGCCCAGCAAAAAATTAAAAAAAAAAATAAACAACGCAATTGAATTCGGTGCCCTCAATTTTCCGAAATATCACAAAACATGAATCAGTTTTGCTCTCAAGCATCTAAAAGATAATATATTTTCTACTTGCGCTGATAAGACGACTATGTTAATTTTCAAACGTGAGCGCAATTTCTTTTAATTAATTAATAAATTTAATTCAAATAAATCAATTCAAATCGCTCGCTGATAATTGCGCGTGCTTCTGAGTGTGTGAATGAGTGTATGTGTATGCCCATTTAAAAATCATGTATATTTATAAATAAAATAAATCCATTTCAAGCATTATCAATGAGCATTAAAATTTCTTAGGCGCCAGTCGAATGGTCCCGGATTGAATCAATTGCTGAGTGCATTGCTCAATGGAAATTCGGTTTGGAATTTAGTTATAGAAAATGCAGGAAATGTACATTCTAGTGGATGGTAAAGCTATTGAAATCTGTCGTGGCTTCAATATAGATATTAAAAGTAACACTCATAATACCCGCGCACACTTTAACAGCTTACAGAATTATATATGCAAAAATGTCAAGGGAAATCAACTAAACAGATTTGCCCTCATCCAAGTAGACTAAGGTAAAGTATATTTAGCCTTTCGATCTTGACTAGATGGATTGATGTTTCCCGCCTTAAAACTATGGAGATATAGCCAGGCTACTAGGCGTGGCAAAAAATTGATAACTTTCTAAGACTAAGTTTCTCAGTCTCTTAATAAAATAGCGACAAAGATATTACATTCTTGACATGAGCTTGTACAAAAATATATATGTTTCCCATTCTAAGAAAATGTTAATATAACATTTCTGAATTAATCTTTCGCTTACCTTCCGGAAAACAATCGAAGTGAAGCCTAAATCAAACTGTCTTGCAATTAGCTTCAATTTAACGCGCACTTGAACTTAACTTGTATGTTCTTATTGTTCTTTTCACAAATTATCTATTTGTTAATTTTTGTAATTTTTTGCGCTTGGCTAAAACTTAACCGTTAGCTGTAACACCGCAGAATAAACGCAAATCCGTTGCGCGCATTTGTTTATATAGGCGTTGACAGTGTTGCAGAATGTCGCAAAAAAAGGGTAAATCAACAGGTACAGTACGCACGCACACACACAAACACCGAGTCACACGGCACACGACGACGACGACACGTTTGACTTCGGCATGTCAAAATGCCAAATCGGTGGGCGGCCGTCAGTTTGTAATGCCCGCGAGTGGGCGTCGGGAATTGCTTGACTCAGTTGCAGTTGTAGATAGGCGAACACTTTGAAAAGCTTCAGTCACTTTTTGGCTAATGCGAGAGCAATGAAATTACACGCTCGACCCTCAGCTATGCATGTAATATGATTTTTGGTCGCCTCTGCAGAGACACAGACACAGCTTCACTTGTTCTTAACGCTTTCTCGTATGTTCGCACACTAAACGCGACGAAATTGAATTCGCAAAACGTATGCGGACAGCTTCTATCACTGATCGCTGCTCTGCTCTCCTCCATTCAGCCGAATTGAATATAAGTCTCGGTCTTGGTCGCGGTTTGAGACCTTCGCTGTACGTTTGCTGTGCCACGCTTTTGACAAATCGCCCGATAAGTCCGAGATTTATGACATTAGCTATATAGCAGTCGAATGCTACCAAAGTGTGCGCTACACATAATGAGGCATATCAGTTTTGATAGAAAATTTGACGACTTTACCAGGCTGACATTACTTTTTCAGGTATTTCTCACCCCTGGAAAAATCAAAAATACATTGATAAATAAGCGGAAATCCAAGCTGAACAAATTAAACTAAAAAGTCATTGTTTTCCCCGAATATTCCACAACTGTAGGTGGAATTCAGTTTTTTATCACTCACAGCTTATTGCATCGATCAGCTAAACAGACAGTATAAACAGTTTAATATATACCAATTTAATTTAGAAATCTAAATAATATTTGACTTTAATGCCTTAAAGCTTCGTTTCTAAGAGCTGACTGGCTGGCCTCATAAACTATCCCCCGGTTAGGTTCATTAATATGAACCTGCAAATTCTCAAGGTACTTTTGCCGGTCAACCAACTCTGATGCTTAATTCGGACATAAGTCCTAGATTAATGCTTTAACTTTGCCATCGCTCTACACTAAACAGAATACCCTAATTTCAATTGTAGGTCAATAAACTCGCTAGAAATTTGTGAAAGTTTATTGGGTCAATGTCGAAAATATACTTAAAACAAAGCGGATGTTGAAATGATACAAAACTATTGCACGATCATGTTTCGAAGAAAGCAAAAGTTTGAGCTGTAGAGTATTTGAATATTTTTGAATATATCAACTACATGAAACATAAATAAATTGGAGCAAAAAAGGTTTTGCCAAAAATAGAATGGAAAATTACATGAGTACAATTGTGGGCAGGAGATAATACACCCAGCGTTATCTTTTATGCTCCCAAACCAAATGAGCAGACTAATTTTAGGCGCCAGTCTTGAATTGAAAAGAAAGAAATTATGATGAAATATCCATAAAATATTACAACACAAAAGATCAAACATTTCTTAATAAGATGATGATGAATTGTGTCTCGGATTAATCCTAATCTGACAGATCTTCTAATCTACGCTAGACGTCGTCAGACTTTCTTTCACATAAAACATTTAACTAATTAAAAACATTTCAGCTGACACAGCATTTTTTTTTTTGTCTAAACAAATTTTTCAAAATTTTTAATCATAACGTGTGTCACATTTGAACCTTTCCACGGATCCGCACAAATCCGCATCGAATGTTATTCCCGCCCACGCTTCATATTGATATGAATTAATTTTTGGCTACATCAGCCCCCAAAATATGATTAGGCTATATGCGGGGGTATCTCATCAGTTGGGCGATAAGCGATTTTCGAGACACAGGACGGGGGGAGACCCTTATGACATGCAAATAAAACATTAAATACCAAAACATATCAGCGCTAATTGACACTTATTAACAAGAATCGCCGCGACGAGACATAGACTTTGACATCTCTCTCCCTCTCATGGCGGAACAACAATTGCTCGCACACGTGCTGCTTTTGCCGGGCCAATTATCAGCAGCAATCACAATCACGAGATTTTCGACGTGCAGCTTGCACTGCTCACAATTAAACCAGTTATGCAGGCAATAATTGATGCCTGACTTGAAATAAAATACAAATAAACATTTATAGCATAGATATCACAGATACTTAATTCATTTATGCATTCATAAATGATGAGAAAACAACGTTGTTGTTGCTTTGATTTTCAATCAACACATTTAAACAGCGCAGCCAATTGGCGCCATTCTGTCAAGCATTAACCAACACTGCTTGCAGTTGCGAAGAGACCGATACTTTTAAGCGACGGCAATATTATGAACTTGAAGTCACATCAGCGAACTACTTAAACATACCCGTGACAAGTAGCCGGTAAAAATGCGGAAGTAAGATATATTCAAAAAAAGAAAATCATCATGGCTACATTAACCTTGTGGCTAGACTTTTTCTCAAGCTATGAGCGTTATTTCTAGCTAAATAAATATCTCTTGTGTCTCACATCGTCAAGCTAGGCCAGATTTGGTATGAGAATTTTGTTGTGCTTGGATGGGAGATTGGCGAGAAGTAATATTTGATTCGGTTTTTTTATTTTTATCAGAGCAAAGGCAACTAATTTTCATCAAGCTCAGCATTTACGAGCTTCACCATTCTCACTTATTTGCAAACCTAGAGTATTTTATCTTCGGCTAGCCAAAAGTAGCCTTACCATCTCGCTTTAAGTAGGGTGGCCCGAAAACAATTGCCATGCATTTAAACAGAGCCAACGCAGTGCAACAACTTTTTTACAATATTTCAGTTTCCAATGAAATGAACAAAGTGGCCAAAAGTTAGCACGCCTGAGTTTTTCTCCTTGTTTTATTTTCCTTTTTGAAATTTTCGAGTCTCGCTTTTGACAGGTTTCATCTGCAGTTGTTGGGTCACGTTGCATACACCAAGATTTTCCTTGTGACAGACAGACACGTGGCACTTAAAATGTTCAACTCAGCTTGCGAGCATGCTTAAAAATATCACTTGCCCTGCGAGTCCATAGGGCAACTTGCCAAAGGGCGACGGGGTCAAAAGATGCTCGTCTGTGCGTGACGCGGTATCCGTTTGCCCTAATTACCGTTTATGAAATATTGATGCCTAATTATGCTCAACTCCGACGTGAAAGGTCCTGCAATATGGACCACTGATGACCAATGTGGACCTTGACATTTACTTAAAGGTCAATGGAGATGCGAGAAAGCGACTTTGCCACAAGGAAAGAAAAATCATGAAAACTGCAGCTAAACTTGCACATAAATTGCAAATTTCCACAAATTAATCTTGATGATTAATTCGCAAGAGATACGACATAAAAAATATGAAACTGAATGACTTTTGCGCTTCTGCTGCTATTTTTAAAAATCCTGATAATTAAAATTCATATTAAGTTACGATTTGCATAAAAGCAGCTACAAGAAATAAAGCTTTAGGGAATACGCAAATTTCGATGGCAAATCTTAAGTATCGGAGATCAGGGACCAAACTTTCGTGAAGGCATAAAACAGAAACTCTAGGAATTTGGAATTTAGGAATTTCATAAGTCAAATTTGGCCCGAAATTTTTCCAAAACTATATTAGAATCTTCTTAAAAGTTGGCTTCTTATACTAATATATCCCAGACAACATACGAATTTTTAAATTAAATAAATTCTTAAATTGACAACTGTAACTATTTTTAAATTGAAAAATATTGCAAGACAATTCATGAGTGAGTGATACGCCTTGAAATATAAAAATCGCTTCTGTTTTGACACTCTATGAATAATGGGCGAATTCGATTCGTAAGACTCGTAAACGTAATCAAATATGTTTATACCCCCCGGAGCTGATAAAGCGCCGATGTCGTGGCGAATTTTTCAACGTACGTATATATATACTATACTATACAAATTTAGTATACTATATAGTATACTATATAAATACGTGCGTATAAGATTGTCAGAGCTTCTTCTCAGTACTATTTCAAAAAATACATGGTCAAGGTCTAACGCGTACAAGTTTCAATGAACTTGGATGGGGCGGGACACGCCCCGTAATTATCTCGGAGCCAGATCGGATAAGCGTTTCGCCCTTTACAACCGATTAGTGCCAACTATATTTTTGGGTCTGTCGAATATTTATTTGACAGGCGTTTGTTGACGCCTTTGCGGCGTTAATTCGAAATTAACCTGTTGCTGGCGCAGGTGCAAATTGATAAGAGATAAGAGATTTTTATGTGAAGCAAGGAAAACATTCAAGATTTTATGTTATAAGTCCCAGTAGGTATATAAATCCCGACTCTTTTAATTTGAAACATGCTGTCTTTTAATTGAGAATTAAGAGCATCAACGGCGCGTAAAAAATATCACACGAGCCCGAAAACGAACGAAGTCTTATGCGGAAAATATTAGATTATTTTCGATTAAGCTTAAAATTTCATTTCGAGCTCCCAAATTTTTTTGAAAATATTTTGTATCACGAGACTTGAATCAGTTTTACTTAATATACAACGTGATCTGCATTTTCTGCGTGCGCTGGTAAGACGACTATGTTAATTTTCAAAGGGCAGCCTCAATTATTTTTGAAATAATCAAAACAAAAAAAATGTGAAGTCAAATAAATTAATTCAAATTGAGCGCTGATAATTGCGAGTGCTTTTGGGTGTGTGTGCTCATAAGAATTTAATTATGTTTATAAATAAAATAAATACATTTCCAGCATTATCAATGAGCATATCAATTTCTTAGGCGCCACACAAATGACCCCAGATTGAATCAAATTATACTGCGAGTGAGTAGTTGATTGAGTAGAATTGAGTATATTCATTGCACGTATTTTTCTTAACATTTTATTTAGGAAAAATTTGGAAAAGGCAGACGTGTTTTTCCTAATTTTATTTAGCACTTAATTGCAGTCAAAAAAAAATCGTGACTTTGCTTAGCTTTAACTAAATAAACGGAGTGAAAGTTAACATAAACTGTGATCTGAGAAGTGCCATAAATCATGATTGAAAATTGCTAAAGAGAATATAATGTAACAGACAGAAGAGAACATATTAAATCCTATTGAGTATATATACTCCTAGAATG